ACCTTGGATCCTAGGTCCGTGAATCATCAATCTTGGACTCGAGGATCCTGCGTCCTCGATCCGTGGATCGAGGACCGAGCCTCGGCGATGGGCGATCGCCCTCGTCGCCGGCGTCGGGCCCAGGCCGCCATCGAAGAGGCCTGCCTCGGCGATCGTCGATCGCCCTCGTCGACCGGCGTCGGGCCCGGGCCGCCGTCCACGGGGCTCAGTCCGCAAGCCTTGCACGGAGGATCCTCGGTCTTGGACTCGAGGATTCTCGTGCGGTTTGGACCCTATGTCATTTGATCGAAAAAAATATGAAATACACAAATATTGTCTGATTCTATCGACATTCGAAAACAAAAGGCTCACATTCAAAAATTTGAGAAATATCGACGTGTCAGGGTTTTTTGTTCAATATGTTTATTGCAATGTGAATCACATTCTAAAACGTTCAGTGCTCGGGGGCGGAAAAGAGGGGGGTGATGACTAGGGGGGGGGTGGATATCATGGCGGGGGCCATGACATTTCCCCAGATTTCCTGGCGCCCCTTCTCACTTCATTGCGTCCCTGGCCCCCCCGCTGGGCCGCGCACGTGCCGCCGGTCATGAGTTGCACCCCCCCCTCTTGGACACCCCCCTCCTTGGCCGCTCCCGAGGAGGCGTTGCCCATCCATCGGTGACACCGGGTCGCGTGCACGGGGCTCCCGTGGAGGAGGAGGAGGAGGAGGAGGAGGAGGAGGAGGAGGAGGAGGAGGAGGAGGAGGAGGAGGAGGAGGAGGAGGGCTCGAGAATCCTGCGCCTGCGATCTGTGGGTCGAGGATCGAGCGCCGGCGGTCGTCGAGATCGCCCCCGCGGCCACGGTCGGGCCCCCAGGCCGCCACGGGCGAGGCTCGATCCTATAGATCTTCGGATCGAGGGCCTTGGGCCCTCGATCCTCCTCCTCCTCCTCCTCCTCCTCCTCCTCCTCCTCCTCCTCCTCCTCCTCCTCCTCCTCCTCCTCCTCCTCCTCCTCCTCCTCCTCCTCCTCGGATCCGATGATCTTCGACATTGGACTTGAGGATCCTGCGTCCTCGATCCGAGGATCGAGGATCGAGCGTCGGCGATCGTCGGTCGTCGCCGCTGCCGGGCCCAGGCCTCGAGGCCAGAGGGTCGTCGAGGCTCTGCGTTGTGCAGTCTATGTTGTGTCATCTACGTGGTGCTGCCTGCGCGGCGCAGTATATGTGGAGCAATGTGTCGCGTGGATGGCGGGCTGGCGACGTTGCGCCGGCGACGTCGAGTCGGCGACGTCGACGTCGAGCTGGCGACGGCAACATGAACAGCAAGCAACAACATCAGCAGCAACGACAACACCAACATAACCAGCAACAGGCACGATAACAGAAAGCAGCAGCATACACCAGCACAACAACAGCAATCACCAACAGCAGCAGCAGCGCAGGCACCAACAAACAACATCAACACCAACAACAGCAACCAACAACAGCAACAACAGCACCAGCAACAACAACAACAACAACAGCAACAAGAACATTAACATACATCACGACGACAACAGCAAGCAACCGCAGCATCAGCAACAGCAGCGATGCCCACAAGCAGCCGCAGCACGAGTGACCATCCGCAACAAGTTAGGCTCAATCGACTATCGGGCCCCGAGCCAGCCAGAGTGTCCAGCCAGGCGCAGACGGCCAACCCGGCGGTCGTGGAGTGGCGCTCCCGCTCGAAATCGAGATCGAGAAGGAGCCGGGGGGGCGCGGGGGGGGCCGAGCCATCCGCCGCGAGGGCGATGGCGGGGGCGCCCAGGCCCAGGTCCACGGCGGGCCTCTGGACAGCGCGGCCGTCGAGGACAGCTGGGCCGTCGAGGACAGCCAGCTCGCCGAGGAACAGCCCGAGGGCGCCGAGCTCCGGGACAAGCAGCTCCCGAACAGTAGCAGCGATTTCAATGGGGGCGAGGTCGAGGGCAGCGAGCTCGAGGACAAGCCGCCCGCCGAGCAGCTCGAGCACCGCTGCCTTGGCCCGAGGGCGCCAAGCTCAACGTGGTCGGGTCCAGGCCCCAAGTCGCCCCCCACAGCCTGTGGAGGTCGAGCGCGACCTCGCGCCAGCGAGCCAGGACTTGCCAGCGGCCGTTCCTGGCGATGACGCGGAGGCCATGGCGATGGCGTCTTTCCAGCGGACGTCGAGCCGTTGGGAGCTTGAATCGGGCGCTCGGGCCACGGTGCAGCGGGTGCAAAACGAGAGCAGCACCAGCAAACGCAATTGCAATCGAAAACAGCAACTGCCACAACGACAGCGACAACCATCGCACCATCAATCAGCAAACCAGCAGCAACCAACAACACCAGCAACCATCACAAGAGCAGCACCATCAACCAACATAACAACACGCACCAACAGCAACACCAACAACAACGTCATCAACTTCAAGAACCGAGCGCCAATAAGTTAACAACACCAACCTGAAGCTAACGATGGGCCAGCAATAGGTAAATAAACCAACAAGAAGCCGACAGGAAGAAGGTGACACGAAGCCAACATAAACCTAGTAACAACACCAGCAACAACACTGGGGCAACCACAGTGAGAACGCAACGCAACACCAACAACAATAAACAAACGAGCAGAAGCTAACAACACACACAACAATAACAACAATCAGCAACAGCCACACTAACCTATTAACAAGTTGCCAACCACAGCAAGCTAACCACATTATGCTCACAATAACAGGAAGCGAACAACGATCCGCGGCCATGGTGGCTCAAGCTCTCGAGCCTCGAACCAGAGCAGTCTGGGCGCGAGGTTTCGAAAAGGGGCGAGACGCGATCAGGACGCCGACCAAAAAGTAGAGTTTGTCGGCCCTCTGGGGCCTCGCACGCTTGCCCGCGGAGACCCCGAGCTCCCGCGGGAAAATCGAGGCCTCGACCTACGAGATCGCCGCTCATGCTGCGAGCTCCTGCAAGGACCTCAGAGGCCAGGGGGCTCGAGGCCGTGCAGGCTGACGAACACCGTGCTTTTGTTTACCCCAGTATTTTTTCATAGCTGGAAACGGGCCACCATGGACTCATTCCTACACGCGTGCGATTGAATGCGATTTAAAAGAATTAGGTTTCCCAGGAAAAAAACGAAGGTCCCGAACCATGTGTTGCTGCTGGGCCCTCTTCGAGCTGTCTCAGGGCCTCGGACGGCCACCTGAAGTGTGCTGGTGAGAAGACAACATCCATTGATTGCCCATCGGGTTTTGAAGGTCGTTGGCCTCCTGGGAAGCCTAGGAGGCATCATGGAGCCGTGGTGGAGCGTTTTTGGGGTTTCTTGGGGCATCGCGGGATCCATCTTAAGGCATCTCGGGATATCTAGGGCTCTCTGAGGCCCTATGGGAGCCGTCTCGGGCCATTTTGGACGCTCCAGCGCCCCGCGAACCCCCCCTCCAGGTACAGGGGAGGGGGCATGGGGGCGGCGTCAGTGCACCCCCCTAGATAGCAAGCCGTCCAGTTCACTCCCGCTCGCCCTCCCGACACACATAGATAACACCTGAGTCTCAGCACGCTCAGCGGTCGTCGTTGGATGGACAAGTGGGAACCAAAACCGGACCCATGCGCGCGACGCTGGGGCGAGGTGCGCCACGCGTGCCAGGCGCGCCACGCGCGCCAGGCCCCCTTGGGGCCCGAGCGTGCCAGGCACGCCTGACGCGCCAGATGCGCCATGTGCCCCCGCGTGCGCCAGGTGCGCCGCAGACTCCAGCCGCGCCAGGTGCGCCACGCTCGGGGCACGTGTAGAGTGCGTCAAGTGCGCCTGCGCACGTGACAGCACATATCGGGAAGCATGTCGGCCCCCACCATCCACGTGGAAAACCAGTGCCCGTCATCGTGTTTGATGGGCCTGCGCGCAGCAGGCCATACGCCACCACTTGACAGTGATCGCGGGGTGGCCGCGCATGATCCAGATTTAGCCGCGACCTGCATTGTGTATGGTGGTTTATGGGTGATGGTAGCCCAGCGCGCAACAGGCAACATGCTTACACCCCCGCCGCCCATGTCAAAACAAAACAATAGAACTACTCGTGGGCCTCACGGGCATGACTATAGACTTTGCCCCAAAGTGTATTGTGTATTTTTTTGTTTAGGGATGGTGGGGGGCACCCATGGGGTTCTCATTGCTCTTGGTTGGCCTGGGGAAGGGGGTGTCTACTAGTAGGGAGCAGCGAGAAACCCGTCCCCGAAGGGGAATAAAAATGGAGGTTGGAAGAGAAATCTCCCTAGACCACCTACGCCCTAAAGGGCTGGTTGGATTAGGCTTTGCCTGGGGTGTTCTTGTTCGTTTTACGAAAGAACCAGTGGGTGCAGAGTTCCACTTCAGAGGCGGCCACCAGCGTTGCTCGGTTCTCTGGTATTGGTTTCCTCCAGGCACAGTTCAGCATCCCTGGTCTTGATGTTTGGTTTCCTTGGTCTTTTCTCGGTTCTCCAGCCATATGTTTTGCTATGTGGCCTCCGGTTATGTTGTCTTGATCATTGGGCCCCCCAGTTTTCGCAATGCCATGCAGTGCGAAGCCATGCCTACCGAGCCTAGCAAAGAAACACAATACGTGGCAATGCCAAATATCGCAAAGCAGTGCGAAACAAGGCCAAGCACTGCCAAGCAATGCCAGTCAATTCCGAGCAACGATTCCAAGCAAACGCTGCTTTGAGTTGAACTGGAACAGAGAAGGTCCCCAATTGGAGTTGTGCCAGGTTCACCCATGTCGTTGGCACGGTCTGGAGATAGGACCATGAAGAGATAGGGATATCGGTAAAACTTCCCCGCCTGGCATTCAAGGGTTGCAGAGATGAGATTTATTGTCAGGGGCTGGTCAAACAATGAAATGGACGGCGGTAGTGATCGTGTAGAGAGTGCCGCTTGTAGTCATCAGGAAGCGGGGGATGGGGCGAGAGGAGAGCAGCGCAGCGACGCGGCGGGTTCGGGAGAGCAGGGACAAAGATGTGATGCTTATCTTCGAACGCAGAAGTGCGTTCCCTTCCGCCCAAGGCATGCGCCACCCTCACCAACTTGGTCTCCACCGCCATGGTCCCAGCCTACCAGAGCCTGTCGCATCAGAAGGAGGCGCCGCGGAGGGGGGCCAGGCGGCAGTGCGGCAACAAGAGCAGCACCTTGCCAGCCATTGACGTTACATTTTAATACATGTTTGGGAAGGTCGGATGCCTAGATTGCCTACCTGTGTTGTTTTGGGCCGCGGGGCAGCAGCGTACGTATCGCTTCCTCGTTCCACAAACATGCGCTTATAGCTCTGCATAAGTTGCAATGGCCGCATCCCACACACCATACCTCCTGCTTCATGTTTTACCGCAGGCGCGTGTATGTCTACACTCCTTTCTATTGACATATGTACATTATGTGCACATCTGGTTCTCTCGCTCTCCCCCGGTCGCCGGCATCGGTCTCTGTTTCTCTTTCACCCATCGTCCATGTACGATTCGGGGGCTATGCATAGACTCGACGGGGTTTGTCACCGCAGGTCCAGCCACGATCACTCCCTATATTGCCCCCGCGCTGCCCTTTCCTTTTCCTTCTCCTCGTAGCATGTGTCATGTCTCTTGCCTGCACCGTCCTGCCCACCTCCAAACCGCCTGCTCTACGGCCCCTAGAAGCTCGACAACATCAGCAAGATCGTGCCAAGCGTCACCGGGAAGTTTCCGACGTTCATTCAAGACAGGGCGGGCTTGTGCGCGGGGGTATGAGTCGCATTGCCACGCGATTGCGTCCTCTCGGGACATCGTGCTTGTCGGTTGCCTTTGCCACCCGCAGTGGCCAGCCAGTGTTGTCTTATGCCCCTCGCGGCATACCATTATCAAGCTTCTCCGCCAAGGTTACTCGGTCGGCAGAGTCAGGTGGCCCAGCCCCCAGGAAATTGGCATCAGAGTTTGGTGGCCGAGACCGGCGTGGAGCGGACCCGCCCCGCGCGCTGGCTGGGGCTGCCGACGTTTTGCGTGGTGGGCGCCACCGTGGGCGCGCGCGCGCTCGCTGGGTCCGCCGAGGTTCCGCCTGGGCGGAGCCCGCGCGGACGCCCCTCCGCTGGCTGCATCCGCCGGGGTTTCGCCAGGTGGGCGGCCGCCGTGGGCGCCTCGCGGGCGCACGTGCGCTGCCTGGGCCCGCCGGGGTATGCGACGGGTGCGCGCCTGGTGGGCGCCCCTGGCGCTCGCGGAGCCCGCCAGGGTTCCGCCCTGTGGGCTGCCGTGGGCGCCCTGTGCGTTGGCCGGGTCCCCTCGCGCGAGCCCCGCGCGCCGGCTGGGTCGGCCTAGGTTTCGCCTGGCTGGGTCCGCCGGGGGTTCGCCTGGCGGGCGGCCGTGGGCGCCTCGTGGGCGCCCCCAGCTGGTGTCGGCCGGGTCCGCCGAGGTGCTGCCTGTTGGGCGGCCATGGGCGCCCACGCGGGGTCCGCGCTAGACTGCACCACGTAGGTTGCACCACGCAGACTGCACCGCATGCAGTTGTGTGCAACCATATGCAGTTGTGAGTGCCGCAGTCGTGAGCATCGTCTTCGGTGGAGCACCTCATGGGGCCACGAAACGTGTGAGGGGTGCGCCGAAGTGAGGGTGGAACTGCATGCGGACCCTGCCACTGGGGCCTTCGGTGGAGCACCAAATGGGGACACGCAACTTGTGAGGAGTGCGCCGACTTGGAGGTGGAACTGCATGCGGACCCTGCCACCCTGCCGCTGGGGCCTTCGGTGGAGCACCCTACGGGGTCATGAAACGTGTGAGGGCTGCGCCGAAGTGGGGGTTGAACTGCATGCGGACCCTGCCACTGGGGCCTTCGGTGGAGCACCCCATGGGGCCACGAATCGTGCGAGGTGTGCGCCGAAATGGAGGTGGAACTGCATGCGGACCCTGCTTCTGCGTCTTCGGTGGAGGAGCACCCCATGGGGCCACGAATCGTGCGAGGTGTGCGCCGAAATGGAGGTGGAACTGCATGCGGACCCTGCCACTGCGTCTTCGGTGGAGGAGCACCCAATGGGGCCACGCAACGTGTGAGGAGTACGCCGAAATAGAGGTGAAACTGCATGTGGACCCTGTCGCTGGGGCATTCGGTGGAGCACCCTATGGGGCCACGAAACGTGTGAGGTGTGCGCAGAAACAAGTGGCACGCGTGCCCTAGCTCTTGCACCAAGGAGCTGAGAGGGACAGGAGGCATTCGCCTCCTTCCTCCAGGAATTTCCTTCTGTGGCCGGGGGGTGGGGGGGGAGGACGAATGACGAACGAACGAACGACGACGAAAATAAAGAGGTCCGAGCTCTAGAACACAACTGTGCAAGAGAATAAAGGCTTCGGCGGCCCAGGGGGGCTGCCCTGGGAGGCTCGGGGGAAGGGGGGGTCCAGGGCCCAGGGAAGCAGGGGCAGGCCAGCGGGTGATCCTGGGAGGCTGGGGGAGGGGGGGGTCCAGGGCCGAGGACGACGAACCACGAACGAAGGAACCACGAAAATAAAGGCTTCGGCGGCCCAGGGGGGCTGCCCTGGGAGGCCGGTCCAGGGCCCAGGGAAGCAGGGGCAGGCCAGCCCTCCCCGGGTCCAGGGCCCGAGAGGGCCAGGGAGGACGACGAACCACGAACGAACGAACCACGAAAATAAAGGCTTCGGCGGCCCAGGGGGGCTGCCCTGGGAGGCCCGGGAAGGAGGGGTCGAGGGCTGAGGCAAGCAGGGGCAGGCCAGCGGGTGATCCTGAGAGGCCCGGGGGAGGGGGGGGTCCAGGGCCCGAGGTGGCCAGGGAGGACGACGAACCACGAACGAACGAACCACGAAAATAAAGGCTTCGGCGGCCCAGGGGGGCTGCCCTGGGAGGCCCGTGGGAAGGAGGGGTCCAGGGCCCAGGGAAGCAGGGGCAGGCCAGCGGGTGATCCTGGGAGGCCGGGGGAGGGGGGGGTCCAGGGCCCGAGGTGGCCAGGGAGGACGACGAACCACGAACGAACGAACCACGAAAATAAAGGCTTCGGCGGCCCAGGGGGGCTGCCCTGGGAGGCCCGTGGGAAGGAGGGGTCGAGGGCTGAGGCAAGCAGGGGCAGGCCAGCGGGTGATCCTGAGAGGCCCGGGGGAGGGGGGGGTCCAGGGCCCGAGGTGGCCAGGGAGGACGACGAACCACGAACGAACGAACCACGAAAATAAAGGCTTCGGCGGCCCAGGGGGGCTGCCCTGGGAGGCCCGTGGGAAGGAGGGGTCCAGGGCCCAGGGAAGCAGGGGCAGGCCAGCGGGTGATTCTGGGAGGCTCGGGGGAGGGGGGGGTCCATGGCCCGAGGTGGCCAGGGAGGACGACGAACCACGAACGAACGAACCACGAACATAAAGGCTTCGGCGGCCCAGCGGGGCTGCCCTGGGAGGCCCGTGGGGAGGAGAGGTCCAGGCCCCAGGGAAGCAGGGCAGGCCAGCGGGTGCAGGGCCCGAGGTGGCCAGGGGCAGGCCAGCGGGTAATCTTGGGAGGCTCGGGGGAGGGGGGGGTCGAGGGCCCGAGAGGGCCAGGGAGGACGACGAACCACGAACGAACGAACCACGAAAAGAAAGATGTCCGAGCTCTAGAGCACAGCTGTGCAAGAGAATAAAGGTGGAACTGCATGCGTACCTGCGTACCCTGCCACTGGGCCACTGGTGCTTTCGGTGAAGAGCCCAATGGGCCCACGAAACGTGTGAGGGGTGCGCCGAAATTGTGGTGAAACTGCATGCGGACCCTGCCACTGCCGCCTTAGGTGGAGCACCCTATGGGGCCACGCAACGTGTGAGGGGTGCGCCGAAGTAGGAGTGGAACTGCATGTGGACCCTGCCTCTGGGGCCTTGGGTGGAGCCCCCTATGGGGCCACGAGACGTGTGAGGGGTGCGCCGGAATGAGGGTGAAGCTGCATGCGGACTTTGCATTTGGGGCCTTCGGTGGAGCACCTTGTGGAGGAACATAGGAGCCAAGGAATTTGGGAGCACGAACATAATATGAAGAAGGAGTTGAAGGAGAACGAGGAGGGAAAGCAGAGGGAGGTGGAGAGAGACGGAAGGAGAAGAATGAGGAGTGATGGGAGTTGGCGTGGCTCATAGACCACGTCGCCATGGGTGCGACAACGCCAGCCCATATGAGGACGGAGAAGGCCGCACGTGGCGACACCGCCACTAAGGCCATAATGGCCACGAACTGTGGTGTGCCGAAATGGGTGTGGCGGACGCATGTGGACGGTGGCACTGGGGCCTTGGGTGGAGCCCCCGCGCCGAAATGGGTGTGGCGGACACATGGGGACTGTGCCACTGGGGCCTTCGGTGGAGCTCCCTATGGGGCCACGAGAACGTGTGGGGGATGTGCCGAAATGGGTATGGCGGACACATGGGGACGGTGGCATTGGAACATCGGGTGGACCTCCCCACGGGGCCACGAAACGTGTGAGCGATGTGCCGAAATGGGTGTGTCGGACGCATGTGTGCGGTTGCCTTGGGGCCTTGGGTGGAGCTCCTTATGGGGCCACGGACGTGTGAGGGGTGTGCCGACATGGGTGTGGCGGACGCATGTGGGCGGTGGCATTGGGGCTTTCACTGGAGCTCCATATGGGGCCACGAAACGTGTGAGCGATGTGCCAAAATGGGTGTGTCGGACGCATGTGGACGGTTGCCTTAGGGCCTTCAGTGCAGCTCCCCATATGGGCCCACGAAACGTGTGAGGGGTGTGCCAGAATGGATGTGGCGGACGCATTTGGACGGTGGCAGTGGGACTTTGGGTGGAGCTCCCTATGGGGCCACGAGAACGTCTGAGGGGTGTGCCGCAATGGGTGTATGGCGGACGCATGTGGACGGTGGCTTTGGGGCCTTCGGTGGAACCCCAATATGAGGCCACGATGTGGTGGGCGCGGTATTGCGCCACAGGGACGCCGAGTGGAAGGCTACCATGACAGCCGTCTTTCGCCACCAAGACATCCAGGAAGGTTTGCGCCTTGGAATTGGGAGCGCCAATACGACAGTTAGTTCCGAGGCCTCGACCTCAAATTGGCAGACGTGGCACACGACAGGGCAGCGTGGCCTTCCAATCGCAAAGAGTGGATCAAGCACGTGCTGGGTGCAAGGGCGAACTCGACTTTATTTGGTTTCGTGTGACGCGCAGTAGCGCAGTTTGAATGGATTCGAAGCCCTCTGACGTATTGTAACGATTTTCTTTGTCGTTCCTTCATTCCTTGATTGTGCTGTAGGCGGTAGGAGGGCCACCTCGCAGACACCGCTTCAGATCAGATTAAGTGTGGCGGACGCATGTGGACGGTGGCATTGGGACCTTCGGTGGAGCTCCCTCTTGGGCCACGAAACGTTTGAGGGGTGTGCCGAAATGGGTGTAGCGGACGCATGCGGACGGTGGCTCTGGGGCGTTCGGTGGGGCTCCATATGGGGCCACGAAACGTGCGAAAGTGTACCGGCAAGGGTGTGGTGGACGCATGTGGACGGTGAGACTGGGGCCTTGGGTGGAACCCCCAAGGGGGCAAGACACTTGTGAGGGGTGTGCCGAGTCTTGTGACGTATTATAACGATTTCCTTTGTCGTTCTTTAATTCACTGATTGCTGTAGGCGGTAGGAGGGCCACCTCGCAGACACCGCTTCAGATCAGATTCAGTGTGGCGGACGGACGCATGTGGACGGTGGCCGTGGGGCCTTCGGTGGAGCTCCCCCTTGGGCCACGAAACGTTTGAGGAGTGTGCCGAAATGTGTGTAGCGGACGCATGTGGACGATGGCACTGGGGCCATCGGTGGGGCTCCATATGGGGCCACTAAACGTGTGAAGGGTGTACCGGCATGGCTGTGGCGGACACATGTGGACGGTGACGTTGAGGCCTTCGGTAGAAGCCCCAAGACGGCAAGAATCTTGTGGGGGGTGTGCCGAGTCCTGTGACGTATTGTATCGATGTTCTTTGTCGTTCCTTCACTCATTGATTGCTGTAGGCGGTAGGAGGGCCACCTCGCAGACACCGCTTCAGATCATTTTCAGTGTGGCGGACGCATGTGGACGGTGGCCTTGGGGTCTTCGGTGGAGCTCCCTCTTGGGCCACGAAACGTTTGAGGGGTGTGCCGAAATGGGTGTAGCGGACGCATGTGGACGGTGGCTCTGGGGTGTTCGGTGGGGCTCCATATGGGGCCACGAAACGTGTGAAGGGTGCACTGGCAAGGGTGTGGCGGACGCATGTGGACGGTGGCTTTGGGGCCTTCGGTGGAACCCCCAAGGGGCCACGAAACGTGTGAGGTATGTGCCGAAATGGGTGTGGCGGACGCACGTGGACGGTGGCATCGGGGCCTTGGGTGGAGCTCCATATGGGGCCGCGAAGCGTCTGAGGGGTGTGCCGCAATAGTTGTGGCGGACGCATGTGGACGGTGCTACTGAGGCCTCCGGTGGAGCTCCGTGTGGGGCCACGCAGCGTGTGAGGTGTCATGCCAAATTCGTGTGGCGGACGTATGAGGGCGGTGGCAGTGGGGCCCTGGGTGCAGATCCCTCTGGGGCCCCGGAACGTGTGAGGGGTGTGCCGAAAGGGGTATGGCGGACGCATGTGGACGGTGGCATTGGGGCCTTCGGTGGAGCTCCGTATGGGGCCACGAAAGGTGTGAAGGGTGTGCCGCAATGGGCGTGGCGGCCGCATGTGGACGGTGGCATCGGGGCCTTGGGTGGAGCTCCATACATATGGAGCCACGAAGCGTGTGAAGGGTGTACCGACATGGGTGTGCTGGATGCAGTGGACGGTGGCATCGGGGCCTTGGGTGGAGCTCCCTCTGGGGCCGCGAAGCGTCTGAGGGTTGTGCCGTAATGGGTGTTGCGGACGCATGTGGACGGTGGTCTTGGGGCTTTCGGTGGAGCTCCCTATGGGGCCACGAAACGTGTGAGCGGTGTGCCGCAATGGTTGTACGGGACGCATGTGGGGCCACGAAACGTTTGAGGGGTGTGCCGGAATGGTTGTAGCGGACGCATGTGGACGGTGGCTCTGGGGTGTTCGGTGGGGCTCCATATGGGGCCACGAAACGTGTGAGGTATGTGCCGAAATGGGTGTGGCGGACGCACGTGGACGGTGGCATCGGGGCCTTCGGTGGAGATCCATATGGGGCCGCGAAGCGTCTGAGGGGTGTGCCGCAATAATTGTGGCGGACGCATGTGGACGGTGTTATTGAGGCCTTCGGTGGAGCTCCGTATGGGGCCACGACATGTGTGAGGGGTGTGCCGCAATGGGTGTACGGGACGCATGTGGACTGTGGCATTGGGGCCTTCGGTGGAGCTCTGTCTGGGGCCAATGGGCCACGAAACGTGTGAGAGGTGTGCCGAAGAGGCAGGGATGGGAGGAGGGAGGATGCGCTCCAGGAGTGACCCATGCCACTGGACCGCCATACCTCTGAGGTGTAGTGACATCCACCTTGCCGCGCGATCCTGTAACATATGTTCTATGTGGCATTGCGACCCTGCATGCCCCCAAGCTCATCCGCTGCAGCACGGGGAGGAGGAGGAGGAGGAGTACGAGGAGGAGGAGGAGGAGGAGGAGGAGGAGGAGGAGGAGGAGGAGAGGAGACGAGAGGAGAGGAGAGGAGAGGAGAGGAGAGGAGAGGAACGCGGGGCATTGTCCCTTCAAAACGAGGGCCCAACACCACAGGATGTTTGGAAGAAAACATAATTATGAACTGGCCGCGGTCCACGCAGACTTCTTGGATTGGCACCGGGCCTCTTGGCGACGCCTCCACCGCTGCCGCTGCCGCGCTCCAGTCGTCAGCGAAAGGGGCTCCATCGTCGACCCAATAATTGTGTGCTGACTTTCGAGCGGTTCTATTTGTGCAGTTCTAGTCTTCTCCAAGGCGAAGTCACACTGGGAGATGCTCGTTCGTAACGAGGACGTCGCAGGGAGGGGAGGAGTGGAGGGGCTGCGTGAAGGACAGAAGGCAGGAGGATGGCCAGGAGGAGGAGGAGGAGGAGGAGGAGTTAGGAGGAAAAGAAAGAGGAGGAGGAGGAGGAGGAGGAGGAGGAGTTAGGAGGAAAAGAAAGAGGAGGAGGAGGAGGAGGAGGAGGAGGAGGAGGAGGAGGAGGAGGAGGAGGAGGAGGAAGAGGAATAAGAAGGCGACAGCGGGGCTCAGCCGCGGGAGCGGAGATGGGCGCTCGCGCCGCCCCGCTGCTGAACATGGCCTACGTGGAGAACCTGGCGCTCAAGGAGGAGCCCCGCTTCTGTCCAAGCCGCCTGGCGGCCGCGCTCTCGAGGGGGAGGGCGAGGAGGACGGGGAGGACGAAGGGAGGAGAGGTGGAGGACGAAGGGAGGAGGGGGGCGGAACGACGAACGAAGAGGAGCGAGGCGGGGTTGGCCTGCACTGCAGTGTTGGGCTTGGCCTCTCTCGGATTTTCGGGTTTGGGTTCAGTCGGAGTTTCGGGTTTCGGGTCGGGCTCGTCCGTCATGCATGCGAGGGCGCGCCCCTCTGACTCCACCCTCCCTCTCCTCCGGCTCCCTCCCCCCTGCACCGCTTCCGCCCTCCCCTCTCATCTTCAGTCCTTCCCGATGGGCAGGGTGGGCATATACCCTTTCGCGACTCGGCAGACTGGAGCTGACGGTGTAGACCGTCCTCCAAGGGTCCGCTGGGACCCTTGTGGAGCCCCCCCCCCTTGCCACGATTTAGCACTCCAGAGAGCTCGACACTACTGCAGAGAGAAACAGAGAGACGCCAAAGAAGGACAGCACTTTGCTCACCCTCCTGCTTCTCCCCAAATTCGCCTCCTCCGTGCAAGGTTGCCATGGGTATCGTGCAGGAGGCCTCGCCGGTCGTCGTGAGCCGCCTGCACTGCACCGTGCACAGTGCCCCGGGTCTCGGGAAGCCTGCCTCGGCCCATCGTCTTCGCAGGGCCGCAGGGATGGAGGGGGGGTCAGGGGCAGCGTTGGGGGGGGGATGTCATGGCGCCAACATCGCAGAGCGAATTTCTTTCGGAAAACAATGGGATGAGCCAGGATTGTCCTGAAGAATTTCCTTCCAGATTTCGAGGTGAATTTCGTGCGGATGTTTCCCCAGTCAGAATTTGCCTCTGTAGGGATCCTACCGAATTCATGGTTAGGTGAGGTGTGTCACCGATTTCCGCGGCCCGCCTGGGTGCCCGGGTGCCCTATAGCACTATAGCACTATAGCGCTATAGCCCTATAGCCTTATAGCCTTACAGCCCTATAGCCCCATAGCTCTATAGCCCCATAGCTCAATAGCCCTACAGCCCTATAGCCCCATGGCCCCATCGCACTAGAGGCCTATAGCTCTATAGCCCTATAACCCTATGCCCCTCTAGCCCCATAGCCAGCCCTGCAGCCCTATACATATACCCCATTGCCATATAGCCCTATAGCCCCATAGGCCTGTAGCCCAATAGCCCTATATATCCCTATAGACTCATAGCCCTTTGGCCCTATAGCCTGATAGCATTATAGCCCTACAGCCCTATAGCCCTACAGCCCTATTGCTCTATAGATGCCTATAGTCCTATAGCCCCATAGCCCTATGGTCCTATAGCCCCATAGCTCTACATACTCATAGCCCTATAGGCCCATAGCCCCAGAGCCCCAGAGCCCCATAGCCCTATAGCCCTCCAGCCCTCCAGCCGGCCCTACAGCCCTATAGCCCTACAGCCCTATAGACCTATAGACCTATGGCCCTGTAGCCTTATAGTTGCATCGCCCTATAGCCCAGTAGTCCCATAGCCCTATAGCCCTAAAATGACTGTGATTGGGGCTTTTTCTCTGGTATCATTTTTGGCAAAGGGATAATGCTAAAACACATTTACGCGAAATTGACATCGTTCTACTCTCGCCGTTTCGAAGTTTTGCAGTGGCAGTTATCCACGCACAGATCTGCTTCAGCACGCCTGCAAGGTCGCCCCCCTCGTCGCCCCCGACCGGGGGGGACGCCTCGGCGCCCAGTCGTCCCGAAGTATCGCCCCGACCAGTTCGATGCTTCCCCCCCTTGAGCTGGTCTCCCCTAACGTCCCCCCTCACGGAGGCTGTATTCGAGGATCCTCCCGATGTGGAGGCTGAGCTCCAGGAGTATCCCCTGGCATTCGACCGCCATGCCTCTGAGGTGTAGTGACATCCACCTTGCCGCGCGATCCTGTAACCTATATGCCATGTGGCACTGCGACCCTGCATGCCCCCAAGCTCGTCCGCAGCAGCAGGGGAGGGAGGAGGAGAAGGAGGAGGAGGAGGAGGAGGAGGAGGAGGAGGAGGAGGAGGAGGGAAGAGAGGAGGGAGCAGGAGGAGGAGGGGGAGGGAGCAGGGCAAGGCAGGAGGGAGCAGGAGGGAGCAGGGGGGAGGAAGAGGACGGGAAGCAGCAGCACCAGGCGGATGCCTCGCCTTCGGGCCCTCTGCGTTCGGCCGCCCTGGGGGCCCCGGCGTCCCAGGATAGCAGCCAAGCTCGTTTGCACCGGCGGCCGGGGGCACTCATCGGAAAGTGCCGTCCAGAGCCGCTCGACCGCAGGTCACCCGCACGGGTGCGAAGGCAGCAACGCCGCGCGTTGCGCGGCCGGGGCGCGAGGGCCGCCCTTCTCTCCTGGGCCCTGCGCGAGGGCGAGGGCACGTGGTTCGCCCTCCGCGCGGGACGAAGAGCGAGGCCACCCGACCTAGACGCACGCTCGGAGGGGCAGTCCACAGCCACTCGATGCTAACCGTTTCCTGAGGGCGTCTGCGCTAGGTGGCCACACGTGAACCCTACCCCTACCCCCCACGATTTCCGAGGGGGGAGGTGGGGCTCACTTCGCTCGGGCTCGCTTTCTGAGAAGCTCTCTGAGCCTTTTCCCAAGACAGAGGCGGCTTCCCAGAAGGCGCGAGGACTTCTGAGAAGCCCCGCCGCCTTATATCGGGAAGAGCTTTGCCCTTGTTGCCGTCCCTGCGGGCCCGCAAGCGGGGCTTCTCTCCCCGCTCTTGCTCAGACCTCCAGCCTCGTGCCGGCGGTGGTCATCGGCCAACAGGTCCCAGGTCACCTGCAGAGACGCGAATCTAGGCTTCCTAGATGGGGTCGGAGCAGAAGGGGTCGGAGGATCGCGCCGCATCGCCGATGCATCGGCGATGCGGCTCGATGTGGAGTCCGTGTTTCCCCACGCCGACGTCGCGGATGCCTCGCCGACGTCGCCGCTGCATCGCCGATGCATCGCCGACGCATTGGCGATGCGGCACGATCCTCCGACACCATCTACTCGGACGCCATCTAGGAGGCCTCTAGCGAAGAGGTCACGCTTCGCGCTTCGCCGCCCGTCGTCAGGGAAGTTGCTCGCTTCTCTACGGCGCGGCGCAGGATCGAGATGACACTCGCGCAGCACGAAAGCTGTGCGACCTGGGGGGCGCGGAGGGGGGGGAAGCAGGGGGATGGACGACGGGGGGGTCGTGGGGCGGAGGAGAGAGGGGAGCAACAGGAGGAGCGCAAGATGGTGCTATGCTATGGTCGACTTCGGGGAAGGGGTAGGGGGGGAGTGGAACAGGCCCCCCGCCGTCGTCGTCTTCGTCGTCGTCGTCGCCTGTTGTCGCCGCTCGCCGTCGCTACCAGCGCCCACGCCGAAAACAGTCCTGGGTGCGTCGAGAGATGGCCCGCCCGAGTGTCGCAGACGTCGAGGTCTTTGCGGCAGGGACGGGCGCAGAGACGGAGTGGGCATCGCGCTTGGAAGTACGTTTCCATGTGTGTTGTTCTCTCTCTCTCTCTCTCTACGTATGGTTGTCTCTCTCTCTCGTTTTTTGTAGTTTTTCTTCCTCTCTCTCTCGCTATCTCTGTTTCTCTCTCTCTCTCTCTGTACGTATGGTTGTCTCTCTCTCTCTCTCTCGTTTTTTCTTTGTCAGCATAGCTCAACTCCACTCTTCGCCAAGTCAGGGCGTTTGGAGCTGGCGCCCCCGAGGGCAGTGGGGGGGGCCAAGAGCCCAAGCGGCCTCGGGGCGAGTAGGGCAGGAGCAGGAGGAGGAGGAGGAGAAAGGAGCAGGGGTTAGGACGAGGAGCCAGGGCGCCCTCGAGGGCGCGAAGGTATTCGCGCTTCGCGGTTCGGCTCCGATTCCTCCTCATCCTCCTCTTCTCCCCTGGGAGGCGGCGCGAGAGCGCGAAGTTATTCGCACTTCGCGCTTCGCGCAGCGCGAAGCGCGAAGTTGGGAGCCTTTGGGGTAAGGACGAGGAGGTGGCTCCCAAAAAGCTGTGCACCCAGTGGAGCTCTGGAGCCGCCATGCAGCTGCCACCAGCATCGACGTGCACGCAGGTGGGGCCTTCGATGTTCTGAACAAAACGCTGGGGGCGTTTTTTTTTCCGCTGCAAAGATGGACGTTTTTTTGTTTGGGGAGCCGTGTTTCTCCGTTATGGGATTGACGTCTCGCCGTTTTCGGGTCGTTTTGCGATTCGTTTTCTAGGTGCTTTTAATTGCCATGTTTCATGTGTCCAGTTTCTGTCAAATGTTTTCTGTCTTGGGTTGCCGTTTTTTTCCTGTTTTGGGTTGCCGTTGTTCGCTCTTTGGGGCCCGGCCAGTGTCGTTTTTGCTCTGTGTTGGGTTGCTGTTTGTTTGTTGTTTTTATGGTGTGGTCAACCGCAATTTTTCCCGTCAGCGGCGAGGCGGCGAACTCCGCTCCAGCGAGAAGTTAGTAGATAGAGTCACTAACTAGCGACTTGGCCGGCGGGCAAAGAGGGGGGGAAGGCCGAGAGGAAAAAGGGACGCTCAAACAACGACGAGTTCGACGATGAGCAGCCAGGGGGGGGGAAGCAACAGCCAGGCGCGCAGGGCCAGAGCGCGGTGGGCTGCCGTGGCGAACCACGGTGACAAGGGTGGCGGAAGGGCGGTTGCCAGCAGCTGGAGCTGGCGGGCGGGCGCAGTGGGACACCACGAACGGCAGAGGAACCGCGGCGCGCCGAGGAGTAGGCACAGCATTGAGCCGTGCGGAAGCGGGAGCAACGCGGGCAGAGGCAGTGACAGGGGTATTGCGGCGGCCCTGGGCGCGCTAGGTGGCCAGGGGGCAGGGAGAGGTGGGGCAGGGCCAGATGGCTGGTAGTGACAGGGGTAAATGGTCAACCGCAAGGGTGGGCCTCGACCAGTGCCAGGACGTCGCACCTCGCACGGTCATTCCAGCAGCTCGCCCCAGCTGCCCCGTCGTTCCTCAACAACCAGGTGTGACTGCCAAACTCGTGCAAGTTTGGTCTCCACCCTGAACCATCACGTCGCGTCCTGCAGCCCAGTGCGATTCGCTCCGCAGCACACGGCTGGCCCGCAGCTGCTCGGCAGCCAGATGTGAGCGTCCTTGGTTGCAGTTTGCGTGGAAGACAAAGCCTTCATCCAGCGACAGGGCGTCGCACCGCCCGCGGCCATGATCGCCACCGGCCACGGATGACCAGTCGCTCCTCCACAGCATCATTGGGAATACCAACGACATGCGTGAACAGTCGAGGTTGATTAATAGGCCGACCCTGCCGAATCAAAGGTACCCTTCTGCCCTGTGTTCCTCGGCTCATGCCTTCCGCATTCCTATGGCAAGGCGGCCCTCGAAAGGGCCCCTGTGTTCTCTCGCGTGCCCTCCCCAAGCAACCTCGACTGCAGGAGAGGTCCCTTTCCAGATCCAAGACGTGATGGTGCACACCGCCGTTCCATCCCGTCGCCCTGGACCCTCGGCTGCAGCGCGGTGCCAGCGCCACCCTCTTGGCGACCTGTGTGCGCGACTGGCCCCCACCCCCGGGGCCAGCAGTGCGCACTGCCCGGCGTCGTGAAGGGCCGCAGCAGGCCGCGGCGGCCATTGCGCGACAGAGCCGCACGATGCGGCGGCCACCGGTAGCAACCATCCCGCGGCCACGACGGCCACCATCTTCGACGAAGCCATTCGTGAAGCTCGTGAGGTTGGTGCAGGGATGGCCTGCGCTGTTCGTCCAGCTGCCTGGTATAGTCTGGCAGTGAGCCGACGTGCCTCCCATGCCGCTCCCCTGGCTGCCTGTTGCCATTCGGGCCACTTGGGGGTGCAGACGACGACCATCACGATGAATAAGGGTCAGCCACGCGCAGAGGGGGGTGGGGGGAGGGGGGAGGGTTTTTTAGAAGCACCCCTGCTTCTCACGAGACGCGGGCCTCATCCATAGATGTAAGGCCGGCGCCTTCTAAGAAGCAGCCTCCTTCTAAGAAGCCTTCCCCCTCCATTCACCCCCTTTTGCGCGCCGCCGAAAGGGGGCGCTCCTTGACCCCTGCTCTCTCTCTCTCTTTCCCTCTACTCTTTGTCGTCCTCCTCTTCTTTCTTGTCATCCAGCTCCACTTCATCTTCCTCCGGCCTTCGTCCCCATCCTCCTCCATCCATCCTCATGCGCCCCCGCCCTCCTCATCCATCATCCTTACTTTCCCTCTCTCGTTGTCATCCTTTCTCTGCCTCTTTCTCTTCCCTATCCGTCCTCTTATTCCTCCTACCCCCTCCCCCTCGTTCCTCCCCCTCTCTTCCCGTGCTTCTCCCCGCCGGCAGGCGCCTCCGTGCGCTCGGGCTTCGGTGTCGTCGCCGTCGTCGCCGCCCTGGTGGCCTGGCTGGCGTAGTGAGGGGATGGCTGCGGCTGCCTCGCCTGCAGAAGGAGAGAGAGAGAGGGAGAGAGAGAGAGAGAGAGAGATGGAGGACTGTTGAGTACGGCAGGTATTTGTCGTGCTGGTGTGGCAGCGACCCCGCCGTTCCAGGTTGAGCGACGCCAGTGGCCCAGAAGTGGCGATCGATAAGCCGCCGATCGTTCGAGGCTGAACGATCCACGCGGTGTCAGAAGCCAACGTCGTCACGACACAAACTTTCTGTAGGCGGAGTATGCTGAGGGAGTGAGGCAGGTCTCATCTTCGTATAGCCTTTCTGCGCTCGGGAGATTGCTGGGCGAAGTGAATGCATAGGGCATGACGTCTGGAGGGGAGATGGAGGATGGCTGAGAGATACGAGTTGGAGGCGGGAGGGAGTCGGTTGAGGCTTGAGGGAAGCATGCCAGAGGACATGGGAGCGACGGGAATGTGGTCGAGAGGGTGAAGTCGGGAAGTGGGAATCACCATGGCAGGTACCAGAGTGGTTCTCCCTTCTTCTGGAGAAGGGGGAGATGGGAGGACGGAGCGGGAGGGAGGTGACGGAGGATGATGGAGCGCATCGGTACGTGGATGGGGGGGGCTCCCAGGACGGGGCGCGATGCGCGAGGTGAGGTGACCTAGAAATAGGAACACTGTTGGGCGCACGGGGGAGGGCTCCTTTTCGGGCCGCTCCTCAGATCTAGGTCGGGGAAGTTCTTCGTGGCCGAGGCTCGCCGTAGCCATAACTGCCCTCTCGATCCTAATTCGGCGTTCCTTCCGGTGGCACGACGACCGCAGAGGGCGGGGGCCTTCCCAGAAGGGCCTGGGGGTTCCAAAATGATTTCTGAATAGCCGAGAGGGCCTGCAAGAAGCCACCTGCCCTCTCGGAAGCCCTCCAGGCTCCTCCTTCCGCGTTCCATCCGGTAGCACGGTGACCGTAGAAGACGCGGGTGGCGTTCTCAGAGGTGCGTGATGATGATGATGATGCTGATGATGTTGATGATGCTGCTGATGATGGTAATGATGATGATGATGATGACGATGATGATGTTGATACTGATGATGATGCTGATTATGCTGATGATGGTGATGATGATGGTGATGATGGTGATGATGATGGTGATGACGATGATGACGATGGTGATGACCAATCCTGATGACGATGATGATGGTGGCGATGCTAATGATGATTATGACGATGACGATGACGATGATGACGATGCTGATGCTGCTGGTGATAGTGCTGGTGCTGATGGTAATGAAGATGACGACGATGACGACGATGGTGATGATGCTGATGATATGATGATGCCGATGACGCTGATGATGTTTATGATGCTGCTGATGATCATGATGATGGTGGCGGTGGTGACGAATGCTGATGATGATGATGCTGATGATGATGATGATGATGAGGAGGACGATTATAATATTCTTCAGCATCACAAAAAATATTCTTCATCATCATCATCATCATCATCTGCATCACCATCATCACCATCATCATTATCATCATCAGCCGCGGGGCAGTACGAGCTGGGTGCTCTTGACCTCTTCAGCCGCGGGGAACATCACCATCACCATCACCATCACCATCACCATCATCATCATCATCATCATCATCATCATCATCATCATCATCATCATCATCATCATCATCATCATCACCATCATCATCACCATCACCATCACCATCACCATCCTCATCACCATCGAAGGGGGGGTCCAAAAGGATCTTGAAAGCGGGGGGAGGGCCTGCGAGCAGCCGCCCGCCCTCCCGGAGGCCCTCCCCGGGCGCCTCGGGAGGCCGCCCCTCCCGCGCCGACCTCGCCTGAGCAGCAGGGCCCGACCTGCAGTGGAGGCCCATGCCAAGAAGCACCCTGTTGGTGGGCTTGTTTTCCACCGCCTCCTCCTCCACCCCCTCCTCCTCCCCCTCCCCCTCCTCCTCCTCCTCCACCTCCTGATCCTCCCCCTCCTCCTCCTCCTCCTCCTCCTCCTCCTCCTCCCCCTCCTCCTCCTTCTCCTCCTCCTCCTCCTGATCCTCCACCTCCTCCTCCCCTCAAACTCATGGTGGTGGTAGTGGGAAACAGGCCCATCACTCCGGCCTCGACCCGACTCCAGCTTCCGAGCGGCCAGTCCAGTCTTTAGCGGCGTTCCAGCGCCCACCCGCTGCTCCCACGCACAGTGGAGACCCATGCCAAGCAACACCCTGCTCGCCTTCACGGTGCCCTGGGTTTCTTGGGTTTCGATGGTGTTTCTATGGGAAGCGTGACGTTCCCACACCAGAATTCAACGGGCGACCTCGGGTCGCGGTTGCATTCCTTGTGGAAGGTTTATTTGTGGACTGGCCTCCACTGTAAACAGTGTTTTGGCGATCTCGTGAACCGTTTTCGTTCTGATGTTATGTTGCAGCGAAGGCGAGACGAAGGCAACACGAGGGAACACGGACACATTACGAAGACGAAACATCTTGTTTTGGTCGAGCCCTGCGCTTCTGTCCAACGTCGTGTCTCCGTCAGCGGAGAATCGGCACAGAGTGGTAAGATTAGCGGGCCAAGCCTAAAGCAGAAGGAGCTCCTTGTGCCATGTCCGTCGCGTCGCCTGTCCTCCTCGCGTCAGGAGGAGGAGCCACCCTCGGAAGAGGCTCGTGTCCTCTCCGATGTCGTCTCCACTCAGTCTCCACTGTACGTACCTGCGTGCTGTCCGGAGAGCGTGCTGAACACGCCCTGGATTATACGATGCAACTGCGGCTTGCTGACTTCGCTCGTTTCATTTTGCCATGCTAAGTTTGCCTCGTTCTGAGATGTATCCGTTGCGCGGACACTTCTGATCCATCGGGGGCGTGACGGCCTATCCGGGGATGAGCTGCGGTATGCATAGAAAAGAAGTTGCGGACGGTGGCGATGTTCCGCCACAAGTGCATCGATGTTGAAGCCGGGCGGGACGAGATGCGTGGGAAATGATGAGGAGGACTAGAAGTCATAATTACGGCAAATGGGACAAGAGCGTCATCGGAGTGAGGGATGGGCACAGTGGGCAGGAGGTGCAACATCAGCTTGGGAAGATGTCATGACTAGCCTTCGGGGCCCTCAGCGGACGATGTAGAGAGACGAGGCTGATGCGAACATCTGCAAACCCGAAGCCTCCAACTTTGAGCATATTCTTGATGCTTCGCGTATCCCCACCAGCCCATGCAGAAACGCTCGCCAGGCTACTTGCCTTGATCGGGGGAGGGTGGGAGCATCTAGTAGAAACACCAAGTGATTCAGCCGTCTGGCCGAAGCTCAGAATAAGCCCGAGCCTACTTCGGAGTGGAACTGCTGAGCCTGCCATCGGAGCTACAGGGGGGGGAGGAGGAGGAGGAGGAGGAGGAGGAGGAGGAGGAGGAGGAGGAGAAGGAGGAGGAGGAGGATGCACAGGAGAAGCTGAAAGAGAAGGGGGAGAGGGGTGGATGAGAAGGGAGCTGGGATGAGAAGATGGAGGATGACGTGGGAGAGGAGGCTGAAGAAGAAAGTGGGCGACGACGACATTCACGAGGACCAGGAGGAGGACGAGGAGGAGGAGAAGGAGGAGGATACGTATCAGAAAGAGGAGGAGTAGGACGACGACGACGACGACGACCCTGGCAGGAGTCAAACAGAGAGGCCTCAGCAGGTCAGTCGCTCCGAGAGCTTCAGGGAATCTTCTTGAGGCCATCTTAGATCCGTCATGGGGCAATCTCAGAAGTGCTCAAAGCGTTATCGGAGCCAGCTTGTTGCTCTCTTAGGGGGACTTGGGGGCCCTCCTGGGACCATCTTGTAAGACACCCATAACAAGAGGGGGCGACGCCGACTGGCGTCGCCCTTTGAAACGCCGTCCCCTGGGTGGGCAATCTTAGGTCGCTCGTCTTGGCGCTCTTGGGGCCGTCTTTGGCCTCTTTGAGCCCCTGGGCGTACGTGGGGCCATCTTGTGGCGTCGGAGGACTACCATAATCGGTGAGGTAAGACACTGCACCTTCCTTTTCAGGTGTTGACTGGTTTGGGCATCCTGGGGGTCCTCTGGGGGCGCTCCGTGGCCACTTGGAGCCGTGTTGGGTGGCCCTGAAGCACTTGGAGCCATGTTGGATGACACATCGAGTTAAGCTGTGCCATCTTCTGCCATCTTGGAGGCCAGCTGAATCTATCTGCATCCATATTGGAGCCCTATTGGCGCAACTTCCTTCCAAGTACTCCGACATGTCAAATACTGTCAAACACCTACCGTTGTTCAATGATGTTGGCATTGCCACTCTTGGGCTTGGTCTGCCGCCTCGTGGGCCGATCTTGGGGCCATCTTGGAGCCCTCGTTGGCCCCCCCGGGGGCTCTATTGGGCCATCGTGAGGTCATTTGAAGGCCTCAGAATCCAATCGGAAGCGAACCGGCGAGACCACATATTCATGGTTTCGCTAGGTTTGGGAAATGTCTTGGCCTTTTGGGTTGCATCCTTGGGAGGCTCCATGGCCATTCGGAGCCGTCTTGTGGGGATCTCAGGGCTTGTTCAAGGTATCGCGTGGGCCACCTTCAGCCATGTTAAACTATCTTGGCCTTTCTTGGAGGCCATCTTGGGCTTTCGTTGCGCCATCCTGGAGCCATCTTCGGGCCAGTTAGACGCCCTGACCCCTCGCGAGACAATCCATCCAGACCCACAGAGAGGGTACACGTAGGAGGAAGACCACCCCCCCAAAAGGGTTGGAACAGAACGTGCTCTGAGCTGCCTCAGCCCAGAGGGCTGGTGGGATCTGTCGGCTGGCGGAAATTATTAGCTGTAATAAGCCACATCGCGTGTGCGGATTATAGGTTTTCTGTGGAAGGGCGGCCTAGCATCGTCCAGAAGACCAGCCAGCCATGCAGCGGATCACGAAACACACTTGCGGCGTTTACAGGCGGGGGCCGCTGGGCAAGTGGAGCATCCATGCGGTGCTTGGGATGAGCTAGCGCTCCCATGAATGTTGCCTTGACTGTGGCAGGTCGGCCCCTTCCCTACCACACTGCATTTGCCTGGGACGGTTCAAGGGGCGGGATGTCCTGGGTCATCTCGACCAACAAAGATGCCGTGGTAGGTTCATGGGTGCGTGCCATTTGCGATGGGTGGTTTTGGGCCGCATGAATGCAGCACTCGCACACTGTGCTCCGCACGAGGTCTGGCCAGTGGCATGCCCCCCCCCTCCCTCCCTCCCCGGTCGCACCGAACGCATCGAAGGAGCTGGATGACGAGGGGGGACGGACAGACGGACACCTCTGGGGGCATGAGCCACTTCCCAGCAGCTCGAGCGCGCCCCAGGGCCGACAGAACGGCCGCGAATGTGATGCCTCCAGCCTGCCCACACCCTAACGGAGCTTCAAAGCCCCAGGAGGAGGCAAGGGCTCCCACGAGGGCGCAAAGTTATTCGCGCTTCGCGGTCCTCGTTCCTTCTCCCCCTCCTCCTCGTCCTCCTTTTCTCCCTTTGGGGGGGCGGCGTGAGAGCGCGAAGTTATTCGCGCTTCGCGCAGCGCGAAGCGCGAAGTTGGGAGCCCTTGAGGATGGGGGGACAGAGGTGGAGGAGGACGACGACGAGGGCGAGGATCGGGCGGGTGACGAGGAGGTTGACTAGGCGTTGTTCTGGCCTCATCTCGAACAGGATGACGGCACGGAGGTGGGCGCCGCAAGAGATCGCTCTATACCTCGACGGCACGGGCTCCGTGCCCGCAGTGGCCGCGGTGTTCGTGGCGATGGCAGCGGAAGCGCCCCCGTGGCCGTGGCCACCCGACCGCGCCGACATGTGCGGGGCAATCCAGAAATCTGGACGCCCGAAATGGGCACGGCAAGAATGGGCACAATGACCAACAGCAAATGTTGTCCCGAATCAACAGCGGCCGCTGTTTGGCAGGCGGCCTTCTGTCTCAAATGGACAATCCGCGGCGATGCCGACAGCGAATCCAGTCCAAAATGAACAAGAACTACTGTCGGGCTTTGTACCCATTCTTTCCGTACCCATGTCGGTCGTCCCGAAGAAATGGTTTCGTTTTGGAGAGATCGAGGGGTTGACGCCTTTTCCTGGGCAAGCAGGCGGGCAGCGGTGGAAGCAAAAGAGAGACTTCGGCATGTCTGGGTCGGGGGTGTTTGTGATCGGGCATGAGCTCGCGTTCGAGTGCGACGTAGCGTATCAACACAGGGCAACCACATAATCAGTTTGGCCAAAGGCCCAACCATATGCAGTTGTGGGTGCTGCCGTTGTATGCGCCGCATGCGGTGGAGCTCCCTTCGGGGTCACGAAGCATGTGAAGGGGTGTGCCAAAACGGGTGCCGTGGGCGAATGCGAGCGTTGGCATCTGGGCTGTTGGCGGAGCTCTCTATGGGGCCACGAAACGTGCGAGGGGTGTGCCAAAATGGGTGTGGTGGGCGCATGCGAGCGCTGGCATGTGGGCCTTCGGTGGGGTTCCCCATGGAGCCACGAAGCGTGCAAGGGGGATCCCAGAATGGGCGCTGTGGGCGCATGCGAGCGCTGGCATCTGGGCCTGTGGTGGAGCTCCCTATGGGGCCACAAGACGTGTGCGGGGTGTGCCAAAATGGGTGCGGCGGGCGCATGCGAGCGCTGGCGTGTGGGCCTTCGGTGGTGCTCCCTATGGGGCCACGAAGCGTGCGAGGGGTGTGCCAAAATGGGCGCGGTGGGCGCATGCGAGCGCTGGCATCTGGGCCTGTGGTGGAGCCCCCCATGTGGCCACAAAACGTGTGAGGGGTATGCCACATGGGTGTGGAGGGCGCATGCGAGCGCTGGCATCTGGGCCTTCGGTGGTGCTCCCTTTGGGGCCACACAGCGTGTTAAGAGGTGTGCCAAAATGGGTGCGGCGGGCGCATGCGAGCGCTGGCATCTGGGCTGTTGGTGGAGCTCCCTATGTGACCACGAAGCGTGCGAAGGGTGTGCCAAAATGGGTGCGGCGGGCGCATGCGAGCGCTGGCGTGTGGGCCTTCGGTGGTGCTCCCTATGGGGCCACGAAGCGTGCGAGGGGTGTGCCAAACTGGGCGCGGTGGGCGCATGCGAGCGCTGGCGTGTGGGCTTTCGGTGGAGCTCCCCATGGGCCACACAACGCGTGAGGGGTGTGCCAAAATGGATGCGGTGGGCGCATGCGAGCGCTGGCATCTGGGCCTTCGGTGGGGCTCCCTACGGGGCCACAAGACGTGTGCGGGGTGTGCCACCATGGGTGCGGTGGGCGCACGCGAGCGCTGGCATGTGGTCCTTCGGTGGGGCTTCCTATGGGACCACGAAACGTGTGAGGGGTGTGCCAAAATGGGGGGAGAGGAGGATGGGGAGGATGGGAGGAGGGAGGGGGCAGCTGGAGGAAAGAGTGAGAAACGGGGCGCTGTCTCTTCAAAGTGAGGGCCCAACACCACAGGAAGGTTGGAACAAACAAAGCAACACATCACACGGAGAAGGGAAGGCAGATGTGTGGAGGTTTCTGCACTTTCAGCGCGCGTGCGAGTGCGACGTAACACAACAAAACAGTACAACCAGACAAAAACAAGACAAGTCTCTTGGCGACGGACCCAATCATATGCAGTTGTGAGTAACGCAATGGTTGGTATCGTCTTCGGTGGGCCTCCTTCTGGGCCACGAAGCGTGTGAGGGGTGTGCCAACATGGGCGCGGTGGTGTACTGCGAGCGCTGCCACTGAGGCCTTCGGTGGACCTCCCCGTGGGGCCACGGAACGTATGAGGGGTGTGCCGAAATGGGTGCAGTGGTGTCATGCGAGTGTAGCCACTGGGGCCTTTGGTGGAGCTCCTTGTGGGGCCACATCACGTGTGAGGGGCGTGCCGACATGGGCGCGGTGGTGTACTGCGAGCGCAGCCACTGGGGCCTTCGGTGGAGTTCCCGATGGGGCCACGA